GAGCTGAGATCTGGAGAAACTTTACCTTTTCCAAGTGCAGATGTACAAAAAGGACATCCCTTCATTGAGGAAGTTTCAACATTTTTACATCACACACACACAGAGTGCTCACACACAAAGTCAATGCTGGGATAATGCACTTTGGTGGAGTCAAATTTGCAAAAGATGCATAAAAGGAATTAGAACTCTCTAAAAGTCTCTATGCAATTTATACTTCCAGGATTGGAAAGGATGGAAAGATTAAATCCATAGCATAACAAATTGTAGAAAAACAATGCTGATAATTTAGAAGAGTGAGTGAAAAAAAAACCTAAACAAAGAAAAAGAAAAGAAAAAAGAAAGCTAACACACTAAAAAGATGACTCAACATGAAAACATGTATTACTCGGATAGATTATGGGCTATTGCTCAGAGACAGTCCATAAAATCTGGCCGACTTTCATCATTATTAACTATAGTTTGAAGTCTTGCATCTCAATGAGTAGCCACTTTTTTTCTTTTCTATTTTCTTTTGAGACGGAGTCTTACTCTGTCACCCAGGCTAGAGTGCAGTGGCACGATTTCGGCTCACTGCAACCTCTGTCTCCCAAGTTCGAGTGATTCTCCTGCCTCAGTCTCCCAAGCAACTGGAACTACAGGCTACCGCCACCACACCTAGCTAATTCTTGTATTTTTAGTAGACACGGGTTTTCACCATATTGGCCAGGCTGGTTTCGAACTCCTGACCCCATGATCCACCTGCCTCGGCCCCACAAGATGCTGGAATTACAGGTGTGAGCCACTATGTGCAGCTGCTTTTTTTTTTTTTTTTTAGTCTTGCTCTGTCGCCCAGGCTGGAGTGCAGTGGCCAGATCTCAGCTCACTGCAAGTTCCACCTCCTGGGTTTATGCCGTTCTCCCGCCTCAGCCTCCCGAGTAGCTAGGACTACAGGCGCCCACCACCTCGCCTGGCTAGTTTTTCATATTTTTTAGTAGAGACAGGGTTTCACCGGGTTAGCCAGGGTGGTCTCGATCTCCTGACCTTGTGATCCGCCCGTCTCGGCCTCCCAAATGCTGGGATTACAGGCTTGAGCCACCAAGCCTGGCTTTTTTTTTTTTTTTTTTTTTTTTTTAAAGGGCATGCCTCTCCTGAAAATATATTCATGTTCATTTTCTACATGGCTCTGCTCTTTATGAAATTTTTCTGTGATTTGACATACACTGACATGGGCATTCTATCATTCCACGTGCACTCACCTACAGACCACAGATTTGGTGGTCACAATACTGCCCAGGCTGGAGTGCAGTGACGCAATCTCAGCTCACTGCAACCTCCGCTTCCCGGGTTCAAGCGATTCTCCTGCCTCAGCCTCCTGAGTAGCTGGGATGACAGGCACCTGACACCAGCCCAGCTAATCTTTGTATTTTAGTAGAGACGAGGTTTCACCTTGTTGGCCAGGCTGGACTCAAACTTCTGACCTCAAGTGATCTACCCGCCTCGGCCTCTCAAAATGCTGGGATTACAAGCGTGAGTCACCATGCCCGGCCAGCCGTACGTGTCTTCTCATCCTACGGTGCGCATAATTATATTCAAACCAGTCAGAAACTTCAGTGGCCTCTTCAGGCAAATGTAGCTCTATGTCTTTAAAAGCTCTTGGAGGCACAAGGAAAGAAAAATAAAAAGAAGAAAAGAAAAACTAGAAATAAAAAAAAATACATAAAAGCTCCTGGAATATTGTCAGCTGGAAGGAATGCCAAGGCAGGCAAATGACAATTTGTTTTCTTTGAGACAGAGTCTCGCTCTGTCGCCCGGGCTGGAGTGCAGTGGTGTGATCTCAGCTCATTGCAACCTCCGCCTCCCAGGTTCAAGCGATTCTCCTGCCTCAGCCTCTTGAGTAGCTGGGATTACAGGCGTCCGCCACCGTGTCTGGCTAAGTTTTGGATTTTTAGTAGAGATGGGGCTTCACCATGTTGGCCAGACTGGTCTTGAACACCTGACCTCAGGTGATCTTCCTGCCTTGGCCTCCCCAAGTGCTGGGATTACAGGTGTGAGCCACTGCCCTGGGCCAAATGACACATTTTTAAGCTGAAGTTTTTGTGGTTGCTGTATCAAGTGGCCCGTTCAGTTATCTGAATTTTCTACCAAATGCATTAGGCTGAATCAAAAAAACCCAAATTTTATTGGTAACACCTTGCCATTCACTTTTAGAAGCCTTAATCACCTCTAATTCCAAATCTGTCATGACTGGGGGAGTCAATTAGATGTTAGGAATTTTAGACTTTAGGGATTTAGACTTCAGGGATTTTGATCTTTCGGGATTTCAGCATTTGGGATTATGGTGCTCAAGACAGTCATTAGGGATTATGACCCAAACCCCAGACAAAGATGTAGCACGTGGCAAGCACTCATGAATACTTATGGGTTGAATGACAGCTGAAGGGGAGAGCTGGCCCTAGGCTGTGGGCCAGCCAACTCTGGCTCTGTATCCTGGCTCTGCTCCCAGGGAGCTGTGTGATTTCAAGCAAACCTTTTACCTCCCTGACCCTCAGTTTCCTCATCTGTTAGATGGGGACAGAGGCCAGGCACCGTGGCTCACGCCTGTAATCTCAGCACTTTGGGAGATCGAGGCAGGCGGATCACTTGAGGCCAGGAGTTTGAGACCAGCCTGGCCAATATGGTGAAACCATGGCTCTACTAAAAATACAAAAAATACAAAAGATTAGCCAGGCATGGTGGCAGGCACCTGTCATCACAGCTACTCGGGAGGCGGAGGTTTCAGTGAGCCAAGATCGCGCCACTGCACTCCAGCCTGGGTGACAGAGCAAGACTTCGTCTCAAAAAAAAAAAAAAAAAAAAGGACAGAAATACATACTTTGCAGCATATTGTGATGATTTGAGATAATATGAGAGACAACTCCTGGCTGGCACAGTGCCCAGCATATAGCAGGTGCTGAACCCTTTCTTGCTGCTCTCTGGAGCCTAGAGGGCTCCTGGGGCACCCCCCTCTCTGGTCTGTCTGGAGGACTTGGGTGGCTCTGAACCCTGGACACAGCACCATTCCTAAGGGGTTTTCTGATGAGTGGCCTTGGGGTAAACCTTGTTATAATAACACCCCCCTTTACTTATAGATTCTTTTCTGGGCTTCTTGGCTGTTGGGCATCCGGGAGCAGCTTGATTGCTTCTAGAGACGGTGGGCTCACTACTCCCAGCACTTGCCTGAGCGTTCATTGTGGGATTGAGGTTGAAGACAGATCTTTCTTGTCCGCCCTGCTTGTCCTGCTCTCTGCTGCCTCCGCTGGTCTGTTGGCCTAGGAGCTGGTTCCTGGAGGCCAGGGACTTGGGGGTTCAGTTCGGAATTGAACCAAGATTGGAAAAATAATCTGGGACACACAGAAGTCAGATAGGAAAGAAACTCCATCAGTTCTAACCCCCTTTTCTTTAAAAGCTGGCCTCAGTATTTCCATGGGGCAGGAATTGCCTTTTTGTGTCCACCATCTCTTCTGTCTGGAAGTCTCCCTCTCATCCTCTGGGACCAGCCAGAGGAACATAGCCACCCCTGGGAGCACCTCGCAGTCTCCCTGCCCTCCGCACCCCCAGCCGCTGCCTCACCATGGCCCTGGCCTGCAGCAGGTCTCCAGTGAGGCTGGGAACTGGCCAGACCTGGGGCTCCCGGAGTCTGGTCAGGGCTCTGCTTCCTCTCATTCACTCCAGCATTCTCTTATTCCTTAATTCATTCGTTTGCTGGTCACGGTCAACTGCCCAGGTGTTGGCCATGGTCCCCTTGGTGAGCAGGTGAATGAGGCTGACTCAGCTCCCGGTTTGAGAATTGCCCAGAGTCTTGGGAGAAACATCTCCTGGCCTTGTCTTGTCCTCTGGGACCTGGAATCTCCCTGACACTAAGGGGCAGAAATCTACAGTCCTGCTCTACAGCAGAGGTCCCTGGGCTCTGGCAGTGATGGCGGGTGGGAGCCGGCAGACCCAGAGCTGGATTGTGACCTCAGCCACTGTGGTTCCAACCTCAGCAGTGGCAGGACCGCCCCTGCCCTGGCTCCCACGGGAGGGTGGGCTGTGGAGGCCATACTGCTCCCATCTCGTCCCAGCTTCCCTCAGCTGTTTCCTGCACAGGCTGTCCACGGAGCTGGCTCTGCCCAACTCCCTCCTTCCCTCCTCCCTCCTCCCTGGCCCTGGAACAGACGCTGTGCCCTGTTTCCTGGCTGACCCTGTCCCAGTGCTTGGGGTGGGGGGGCTTTGTGACCCTGAGGGAGCTCCCTGGCCTCCTGCTCGCCCCCACTGCAGTATCGTGGAGCCAGGCAGGCTGAGCAGCCTAGCCTTGGTTTGGACTCTGCTGGTGGCCTGGGACCCTGGGTGGGCTCTGGCCTCTGCTGGTGGCCTGGGACCCTGGGTGGGCTCTGGCTCCTGCTGGTGGCCTGGGGCCCTGGGTGGACTCTGTGGCCCTCGATGGGCTTCTGTCTGCCTCAGCCAGTCATAGCCTGGGACACATTCAGTCCCCAGCTCACAGAATGCTTATGAAGTGAACCTCTCAGCATAGTCAGTGACCCAGAGTAAGCTCTCAGAAAATGTTTTCAACAACGACGGGAATGTAATTACATGTTTCAGGTGCCATCTCCCCCTCCAGAGCCTGGCAGTGACTTGACCAAAGGGTTTCTGCTGATTTATTTCTCTGTTCCCCGTCCCAGCTCTGTCGAAGCACAGACGACCTGGCAGAGTGTCAGCCAGTGAGCAGATGAGCGGATTAGTGAATGCCCGGCACCTTCCCTGGGCTGTCCCAGCTGCCTAGCAGGGCTCGAGGTGGCTGGGGGCCTCTGGGGCTGTCTGGGTGCCCTCTGACCAGCTGGGTTCTGGCCCTTGCCCTCCTTCCATGTGGCGTCTCTGCCCCTCTGGAAACTGAGCAGCGCATCCCCCGACGAGGCCCTGGGCTCCAGTGGAGGAAGAGATCCTGAGACCTTGAGAGATCCTGGGCCTCGTCCATTCTCAGGCCCGAGACTGCATGACTGTTGGAGGAAGCGTGTAATTTAAAAAAGGTTTCCCTGGTTACATGGAAACTTTTGCGGGCAAAGAGAAAGAAATACGTTTTTAATGAAGTCCAGGAACCCGGGGCGTTTGATCTTCTGCTGTTCCCGGAACAGGCAGCGGTGGCTTTGCACCAGGAACAGTGTGTGCTCCCGAGCGGCCCTGCCAGCGGACGGCGGGCTGTGAGGGGCGAGAGTGCAGTGGCAGGTCACCAGCCACGCCCGCTGTTCATGCTCATGTCTCACGGCCTCCCGGTCTCTCCATCTGCCGATGAGGAAGGCACGAGCCAAGGCTGGGGGCCGCCGGCTTCTCAATCCAAGCAGTGTCTACTCCCCGGCTCATGGCCCCGGCCGAGCCCACAGGATAGTTCCCAGGGGTGGCAGGAACACTGGCCATGAAACACAGCCATAGAAATGCCTCTTGGGCACGGAGAGGCCCCTCAAGTCTGCCACATCGTAGGTGAGTAAGTGCGCGTGTGTCCCTCGTACTGGGCACTGCGCGGCCGGGGCTTTCATCCCCCTGATGGGAATGGAAACCTCTGCGGACCTTCTGGAGGCCAGCTTGGCTGTACGTTCAGGAACTGAGCTGACTCAGTGATTCCACTTCTGGAAACTCGCACTCAGGGAGTCTCTCAAAATTGAGGAAACTCTCCACACTGTTTGTCAGGGCACTGTCTAGAGCAGCAGGAAATACCCACCGTGAAAATGGCCAACAAAGTGAGTCATGAAATTCTCATACATCCTCTCTCTGGAATATGATGCACCCATTAGAATTAGGTTTATGATTTTTTTTTTTTTTTTTTTTGAGATTGGGTATCCCTTTGTCACCCAGGCTGGAGTGCAGTGGCACCATCACGGCTCACTGCAGCCTTGACCTCCCTGGCTCAAGTGATCCTCCCACCTCAGCCTCCCAAGTATCTGGAACCACAGATGGGTGCCACCAGACCCAGGTAATTTAAAAAATATATTTTGTACAGACGGGGTCTCCCTATGTTGCCCAGGCTGGCCTTGAACTTCTGGGCTTAAGCAATCCTCCTGCCTCGGCCTCCCAAAGTGCTGGGATTCCAGGCCTGAGTCACGCGCGCAGCCTACAATAAGTTTTTAAAGACATGGGGAAATGTTCATGCAATCATGTTAAATTTTAAAAAACAACCAATATTCAAAACATTCTACAAGCTGTTAAGATGACATAAAATGCAGAGATTAGGAAAAGATCAGAAAGAAATGCACTGAATTGTTACTGATAATAATCTTTGGATGTTGATAACATGGAAAATTATCTGTTCTTTCTAGTTTTCCAAATTAGCATTTTTCAAATATCCAGTAATGAGTGGTGTTATTTTTATAGTGGAAGAACATGTAAATGCATTTACCCCATGGACCAAGAGCACCTCATGACAGATGAAAAGAACTACTGGTCTGGCATCATACCCAACCTGGCTGAGAAGCCTGACCATCCCCTCCTGCTGCCCTTGGTCAATCTGGAGCCATTAGAGTCAACAGGGAGAAAGAGGACACAGGAATGAAAGGAGTGGTGGCCATTCTCTTGACCCAAAACAGGGGCAATGGTTGGACATTCTAGGCTCCTGAAACCCCATCCACATATCTACCCATACATTCATATATCCCTTCATTATTCACCCACCCACTCGCCCATCCATCCATCCATCCATCCATCCAATCATCTATCCATCCACCATCATCCATCCATCCATCCACCTATATCCATCCCCCCATCAAACCATCCATCCATCCATCCATCCATCCATCCATCCATCCATCCATCCAGGTATCCACCCATCATCCATCCATCTATCCATCCATCTATATTCATGCATCCACCTATATCCATCCATCCATCCATCCATCCATCCATCCATCCATCCATCCATCCGTCTACTGCAGACTCTACTGCAGACTCCTGGGATAGCACCATAATGTGGATGAATGTCCATAACCTGCAGCTAAACGTGTACAAATGATCTCCACATCGCTCATGCTCTGCCTCTATCTCAGGTGCCCTAGGAGTCTCACTCTCTTACTCCTAGCTCCCGAAACCTAGCTGTCCTTGCCCCATTCCATCTGCGCCCCTCCTGAGCCCCTCCACTCCACTCAGCTCTGTCCTGGACGTCGCCCCCACAGCCTCTCTGGCTGCTCTCTGCCTCTGTATCCCAATTTGCAGATTTTGCTGGGTGAGGAAGCGCAGCAGCTGACTTAGAGGCCTGGTTGGGGGTTGCGGGGGAAGCAGGTTGCAAATAATTCATATATTGCCGTAGCTTGCTCTTTCTCCTCTCCTTCCCTCCCCTCCCATTTACCCCATGGACCAAGAGCACCTCATGACAGATGAAAAGAACTACTGGTCTGGCATCATACCCAACCTGGCTGAGAAGCCTGACCATCCCCTCCTGCTGCCCTTGGTCAATCTGGAGCCATTAGAGTCAACAGGGAGAAAGAGGATAGAGGAATGAAAGGAGAGGTGGCTATTCCCTTGTCCCAAAACAGGGGCAATGGTCAGACATTCTAGGCTCCTGAAAACCCATTCACATATCCACCCATACATCCATATATCCCTTCATTATTCACTCACCCACCCACTCTTTCTTCCATCCATAGTCCAGTTTCACTCTTGTTGCCCAGGCTGGAGTGCAGTGGCATGATCTTGGCTCACCACAACCTCCGCCTCCTGGGTTCAAGCGATTCTCCTGCCTCAGCCTCCCAAGTAGCTGGGATTACAGGTGTGCAGCACTATGCCCATCTAATTTTGTATTTTTAGTAGAGACAGAGTTTCTCCATGTCGGTCAGGCTGGTCTCAAACTCCCGACCTCAGGTGATCTGCCTGCCTCGTCCTCCCAAAGTGCTGGGGTTATAGGCATGAGCTACCGCGCCCAGCCTGGTTACACCAAATCTCAAAAAATAAAAAATAAAAAAGTAGCCTGATTGCTTCAAAGTTGCCTCCTAAAGCGTGCGCGTTTTGGGATTCTCATCTTGTCTTTAGACACTAAGGCCCCCAGGCTTGGCCTGGCCTCAGTTGCCATGCTGGCCACAGAGTTGCCTGGAAGTTGCTTTCCTTCCCTACATGCTCTGGGCTTCCAGCTCGTGCTGCCTCCTCAGCCCCTCTCCTCCCCTTCTCCCTGCCACACCCGCTCTGCCCCTACCTGGATGCCTCCCTTTTCTTCTTTGGGTTTCAGGTTCAAAAGCACCTCCTCTGGGAAGTTCTCCCTGGTCCTGCCCTGATGCAAGGGCATCAATCATGTGTCCCTTCCGGCTTCCTTGCAGTGGGAAGGAGACGACCTTGACCTTTGAGTCAGCAAGGACTCAGTGACAGGTCTGCTTCCTGAGACCCCAGCGCTGCAAACCCATGGACCGGATTTTGTTTCTTGTATACCTCGGGTGAGGGGCACTGGCTGGGCATGGGGTAGGTACTCAGGAAGCCTCTGCAGAAGGAGTGTGGGCAGGAAATGGAAAATGAGCTTTGCCACCACCGGTGTGACCTATGAGGTTGCACCCCCAGGGGGACAGTGACAGCTGTGGGTTCCCTTGGAAGTGACTCTTGGCTTTTGTAGATCAGTGAGTGGGAGTACTGGTCGGGGGAACCAGGCTCAGACCAAGCCACCCAGTTCGTGGGACCTCAGTTTGCCATTCTGTGAAATGGCCACAAAGGACTCTGCCTCATCGACTTCAGAAGGTGGTGGTGAGATCTGTTCTGAGACAGTGTGGGGTGGCTGTGGTCCCAGCCAGTGCGCCCCCTGACTGGATGGTGTGTGCGTGTGTGTGCACATGCATGTGTGCGGGCTGCTGGGGGATGCTGTGTATTCGTGAAGCTCTAGCCAGCTTAGGCCCACTTTAGGGAGTGTCTGTCTTCTCCCCTGCTGAGTCATCACCTTCCCTGGGCTCAGCAGAGAAGCTAAGCCTGGGCCCTCTCTCCCTCCCCATCCCTGGGCCAAGGCCCTTGTCACCACTTGGCTTAGGGCAGGTGGCCCGTCTGCTCTGAGGCATTCCCATGGGTCTTGTTCTCACTGCCAGAGTTCCTAGCAAGGAAGGCTTGGCTGGGCTGTGAAATCCGAGGCAAAGTGTGGCACTGGCTCTTACCCTCCTTCACCCAACTCACTTGGCCTGACCATCCCCTCCTACTGCCCTTGGTCAGTCTGGAGCCATTAGAGTCAGCAGGGAGAAAGAGGATAGAGGAATGAAAGGAGAGGTGGCTATTCCCTTGTCCCAAAACAGGGGCAATGGTCAGACATTCTAGGCTCCTGAAAACCCATTCACATATCCACCCATACATCCATATATCCCTTCATTATTCACTCACCCACCCACTCTTTCTTCCATCCATAGTCCATCTGTTCAGTCATCTATCTATGCATCCATCCATCCCCCATCCATCCACTTATCCATCCCCCCATCCATCCATCCATCCATCCATCTATCCATCCATCCATCCATCCGTTCAATCATCCATCCATCTGTTCAATCATCCATCCATTCATCCCTCCATCCCCTTCATTCATCCAGGTATCCACCCTTCATCTATCCATCCACCTATATCCATCCCCTCATCCATCCAACCATCCATCCATCCATCATCCTCCCACCCATGCAACTATTCATGCATCTATCCATTCATCATCCATCCAGTCATCCATCTATCCATCCATCTGTCCATCTGTTCAATCATCCATCCATTCATTCACCATCACTCATCCCCTACATCTAACTGTCTCTCCATCCATCCATCCACCTATCATCCTTCCACCTATGCAACCATCCATTCATCTATCCATCCATCTATCCATCCATTTATCTGTTCAATCATTCATCCATCCATCCACTGATCTATCCACCCATTTTCCATTCATTCATCCAGCCATCATCCATCCCCCCTTCCAACTATCCACCCGTCCATCCATTCATTTATCCATCACCCGTCCAAACATCTATCTATCCATTCATCCACCTCTGCTCCTTGTCTGATATCCGCTCGGTGGATCTATGGGGCCCCTGCTGGGTGCTGTGGACACAGGAGTAGCCAACCTGGTCTCTGACCTAGGGGAGCTCATGGAGAGGTGGAGGACACTTCACCACCCCAATGCTGGGTGACAAATGCTGTAATGCGGTTGCTTGGTGAAGGTGGGGTGTGACCTCACAGGCTTCCCAGAGTGGTAGAGGATGTGGTTAGGAGGTTTGAGCGAGAGATGAGGCAGGAGAGGCTGTGGGACCTGCTGGGCGGCTCCCAAATGCCAGCTGAGTCTGGAGGGCCTTTGATAAAACCTGAGATCAAGTCACATACCACAAAAGTCACCCTCTTAAAGCATAGAGTGTAGTTTTTAGTATATTCACAAGATTGTGCAACCACCAATCTAATTCCAGAATATTAACATCTCCCTAAAATAAACCCTGTTCCCATTAGCAGATACTCCGCCTTCCCCCATACCACCAGCACCTGGCGATCACCAATCTTTCTGTCTCTGTAGGTTTCCCTATTCTGGACATTTCATACACATGGAAACCTAGAATCCTTGGCCTTTCCTGTCAGGCTTCTTTCACTGAGCACCATGTTTTGAAGGTTGACCCATGATGTGTCACTTGTCAGGACTTCAGTCCTTTTTATGGTTGGATGTGCATACCACATTCTGTTTATCCATTTTCTGTTGATGGAAATTTGGATTGTTTCCACATTTTGCTGTTGTGAATAGTGCTGCTGTAAACATTCAAGTGTACATTTTTGTGTGGACATGTGTTTCTTTTTTCTTGAGTAGATATCTGCGGTGAGATTGCTGTAACTCTATGTTTAATTTTCTGAGGAACTGCCAGGCTGTTCTTCAAACCTTCTGCACCATTTTACCTTCCCATAAGCAATGTATGAGGGCTCTAATTTCACTACATCCTTGCCACAATCTGTTATTGTAATTTTTTTTTGGTACAGCCATCATTGCGACTGTGAAGTGCTGTGACATTGTCTGTTTGATTTGCATTTTTTCTGATGACTAGTGATATTGGGCCCCTTTTTATGTGCCTGTTGCCACGAGTATATCTTGTCTAAAGAAGTGTATCTTCAAATCCTTTGGTCACTTTTTTTTTGAAACAGAGTCTCACTCTATTACCCAGGCTGAAGTGCAGTGGTGTGATCTCAGCTCACTGCAACCTCCACCTCCCAGGTTCAAGTGGTTCTCCTGCTTCAGCCTCCCAAGTAGCTGGGATTACAGGCACCCACCACCATGTCCCGCTAATTTTTGTATTTTTAGTAGGGACAGGGTTTTGCCATGTTGGCCAGGCTGGTCTCGAACTCCTGACCTAAAGTGATCCCCCCCACCTCAGCCTCCCAAATTGCTGAAATTACAGGTGTGAACCACTGTGCCTAGCCTTCTTTGGTCACTTTTTGATGTGGATATTTGTTTTTTTAAATTATTGAGTTGTAGTAGTTCTTTATCTAGTCTAAATACTATATCTGTATTAGATATGTGATTTACAAATAGTTCCTTCTAGTCTTTGAGCTGTTTTATCACTTTCTTGTTAATGTCCTTTGAAGCATAAGTTTTTCATCTTGGTGAAATCCATTTTCTATGTTTTTTTCTTTGGTTTCTTGTGCTTTTGGTGTCATAACTAAGAAATTCTTGCCTAATTCAAAGTCATGAAGATTGGCATCTGTCCTCTTCTGCTTTTTGTAGTGGCAACTCTTCCATGGCTGTCTTTGATCCATTT